ATGTTTGGGGCATTAATCCTACTTAAATATAATGACAACAGCAGGCACTTATTTCAATATGTTCAATTGTGTGTCATAACTCAAGATAACATATTCTCTACCATATTCTCTACCACATTATCCCTATGTAGCACTTATAAAATTTACATGTACTAACATTACCTATCATTAACGGTACAGTGCCGCTAACCTTCGCTCTATTTTCTTATCAACAGGATGAAAATTAGCAGTCGGGACAAGGCTTCGCATGCGTTTACTTGACATAAGTAGAAGTAATTGCTATTTCGAATCTTTTCAAATTTAACAACAGTTTTTGCGGCACGGTTATTTTAACAAAATTGTTTACATGAGGGACACTGACCTAAATACTAGTTTTCGCCGAATATGTGTTCTCTTAAAAGGGTAAAGCACGAAATCAACTGCCAAACGTTTTCATTCCATGAATTCAAACACAACTACATTTCCCCCCAAGTAATGGCTTATATTTCACCTTTAATTAAGTAACTATGACACATAAAAAATGCTGTTATTATTGATGTAGTACTGCTGGTACGAACATGTCAACGGAGCTAATAGTGCGAGGAACAAGAACGAAACAATTGCCATTTTACAATAGACAGCTGTTTAATTACAGTCTATCTACTTAAGAGCCTGATAAAACGGTTAACTCTCACTGAAATTTACTGTTTGTGCCTCGATGCATCCCCAGTAGCTAGTGTCATTGACTGATCAACTGAGCGTCTGGTATTTAGCAATGCAATTTACAGAACTGATTATCCCTGTTAACAAAGTCAACCATTTAAGATTCGGGTAACTGGAGTTTATTTTGTAAATATGAATGGAAGTCAATTCTATTCATACTGGCATCAAAATGGAAATACTTCCTCCATTCATATAGGTGTACATGCTTCCCTTCTGCCCATTCTTATGTGAATACAGAAAGTTTACGGGGAACCTTCAATCCCAGTCCGTCCCTAATACAGGACAAAGCCTGTAAGCTTGGAAGATGAACCTAAATTGATTGCACCTTTAAAATTTTGTAATAGATACATGGCGCCAAAAATGATTTACACTGCATCACGCAGCTATTTCGGCCTTCTAGGATTAGTCGGTGATAGTTGGGGCCGAAAAATTGGACAAAGAGTGACTGTTACTTTATATTTTGCTTTGTTCCTTTTAGTATCTTGGTGATCGACATTACTCACGAGGTTTAATTTCGCGAATTTCGCGAATGCGTTAAAAGTTTCCGACATTGAAACCCTCGTGAATATTTTGAGATCGTTGCCATAGCTACCACGCTAAGCACGTCCGAGATATCAATTGAACTGAGGCTACTAGGATATTTTGAATGAAGTACACTATGTATGATATTAACAGACGAATTGAAAGTAAAACAAAATATCAGTCATACACAATAGATACATCCATCAGTATAATATATATTTTGGATCACAACAAAACCATGCAACGGAACAATGCATGCATACTTTTAGCCCTGTATGCATTAAAAATGAAGCTTACACTTATAAACTTGAGCAGAACAACGCAATGAATACATGTACATTGAAATTCACAGGCATCCTATAAAACCAAAAATAACAACTCGGGCAACCACATGCAAAAGAATTTATTGAATACAACTCACTTACCTGGTCCACACTACAAACAGGTATTCACCTGCGTCAAGTAACAATGTCGAATCGTTCGTTGCTAGAAGTAACATACACTCGGAACTCTTTGCGATGTGTTCCGAAATAGACTTACAGAAATTGTGATTCGCGAAAATGAGCACAAAAACACAAAAACGCAAAATTTCAACACGCTAAGTTTAACAGCTATACAAAAGACAAACGGTTTATCTAGTGATTATAAGTTATCACGTCATGATAAGAAGGAGGCGGCGCTTTAATCATTGACTCAGGAGGGATCGGGGCAGGGTAAGGAGGTAGCTCCCAATTGTTTCTGGTAGGAGGCGCAGAAGGATTTAATGGTTCTTCTGTAATCGTATCTGAAAATAAAAATGAAAGGATATCATCGATTCATCAATTGAAAATTCTTTATCAAATTTAAGAAAAGTGATGAAAGAAATTATTTTTAAAGTTTATATTACATCGATCCATTTTCAGATGAATCTCATGTTTACTATAGGACCTTTCGCTTGTAACACGATTTATATGAGAACAAAACGTAACATCTGATTCGTTATCACGTCATTTTGTCTATTTGACGGATGACATGGCTCGTAGCTTTAAATCAGTCAATACAATTGATGGAGTTGTGTTGATGGCAGCTTGAATCAATATAGTTTTATAATGATACACATACTACACAGTTATTATCATAGGATGCACTACAATTCAAACGCGTATAACACCAGTCACCATTTTGGAAGACAATCAAAACAAAACCTTTCAGGAACTGTATAAAACATGAATTTGCTATTTCGACAAATTTGCAATTCTGATTAACTAAATTAGTTTCATGATTCTTATTCCGTTTTTTCCAAATTTAAAGTTTAACATTTAAAAGATCAGATTCGGTCGCAGTTGTTGGAGACGGTTCCACATTTATACTTATGGACGCTTCATCTGATAAATTTTCACTTGAATTTGACCTATCGTGTGTTACAGTCTTGCCACAGAAAAAGTGAGAAATTTCTTCAGATATACTTTGAAACGGTGGAATAATACACTTCCGTATGCATCTACTGCACCACTTTAGTAGGCCATATGTTGCATGGAGAAGACCAATTACTGTACCTATGATCGAAACAGATGACAAGCCGCCTGAAAATAAATTTGAAAATCAGAATGTCTGCCATGACGGTCGGTATAACAGATCTGCAACTGAATAAAGATAAAGCAAACAAAACACACAATCAGTTTTCGCGTTTACTAAAATTAAAAGTATTTTAAATATGTCCTATTTAGCAAATAAACGATACAGTGGTATTTAAACGTGAGGCTTAGGAAGCTGAGTTCGTAAGACTTCTGAGATACAGTTTGAAGAGTACTGTTTGACTCTTATGTTATAATGATGTGAGTTCATGTATAGGTTGAGGTTCAACAAACCCCCTTTGTTGATTTATCAGAGGGCTGAAGTGACTTATCAGAGAGCTGAAGTGACTTATCAGAGGGTTGAAGTGACTTATCAGAAGGTTGAAGTGACTTATCAGAGGGTTGAAGTGACTTATCAGAGGGTTGAAGTGACTTATCAGAGGGTTGAAGTGACTATACCATCGTTCAGGAGGTTATTTGAACCTTCGATCCAATATCCCTAGTTCGACCTAAGCACGGAGTTATTACTTTTATTACAAGTTTTAGTTCTGCATACCTGGAAATGCAGAGCAATATATTTAAGTATTGACACATACATACCAGCATTAATGATAATAAATCCTAAATTGAAAGTTCTCTTCGCCTTATGTTTTTCTATTACTGCTATATCGCTATGGCGACCTATTATATGCCGTTATAGATTGTCATATCCTAATGAATCACTTTGAAGAGATAAAAGTACTACCGATGTGTTGAAGAGTTTTGTTTTTTATTTCTACGTCCGTAAGGATCATTCTACTACTGATATAAAATCAACAAAGCATAAACGTCTATCAAGAAGTCGAAGTGTCGGAACGTATGCCAAAGGAAGAAGTCATAACACCAACCATAGAGCTGTAATGTATAGACATTAGAATGTAGATAAAATAATATATAGATATACAATATGAAAAGAGAAAACAAAAAAGATACTAATAGTATTCAGCCTTGTGGACTGTTGAATTGGAAACTTAGCGTCACACAATTGTTTGTAAATAAAACATAAAAAATATTTTGCAATATCAATGCTGACATTAAAACGTCCTCACAGCAAATACTGTGAGGAATGTAAACGCAGCAATGGGCACTTTCAAGTATCTCAATGCAGTTCAGGAGATAAGAGGCTAATTATTACTGATACAAAATTGGTTTTCAGAATAGAGTATAAGTTTGAATGATAGATTAACCAGACTAATATATATACCTTAATATAGAATTGACAGTGATATCACACAAATTGCTAAAATCGTCTTCATTTCTATATGGAACTAAATGTTCTTGATAAACGATTCGTATCTAAGTATCCGGCACCACAATAACATTATATCACAAGGCATATTGATTTTGATTTCATGGAAAGTCATTACACGTGTTGAAGCAAACGATATACATGTAAAAACATAAAAAAAGTAACAGGTATTATGAATCTTATGAATATTCAGGAAAATATTCTACCACCAGCATTCTGCAAGATACAGTAAATATGTCAGACACTGAAACAAAATATGGAAACTATGAACAGAGATTTGATTTCCCCAGTTCATACAAAGAAGATGTATTGTTACTTACAAAAAGGTAAGATATATATTCCTCTGATAAAAACCCCCTGGGAAACTTAGCATCTGAAATTGACAACCAAGAAACTACATGTTGCCCTAACAAAAGCAAACCAAGCATTGTTAATAGAGGTTTGGAAAGAAGACGATTGGTAATTAAATGATATGGAGGGTAGGCTAATTAGTATCAACAATATAATGGAAAGCATACCTGTTTCGATACCGATTTCCTAACATCACCATCGCTTCTGTCCAAAACTGCATATCGTAATTTGCATCAAGCCCCAACAATTCCTTTTGTCCGTAAAATCAGCGCGATAAAAAATGACCGTGTTTCATGACAACGATGACTTCGAACAAAACGAATTATGTTTATAATAGTAATTTTAAACCATATGGTTTACCTGTACCAGGAAACCCGAAAACGGGTCAGAATCCTATCTGTTAAACTACTGGTAACGACACCTGTAATGTAGTAGGTCATCAGAGAGACACAGTTTATAGTGGGATCAAACATACCCCCATGGTATTATGCTTGTAGAGGAGTAGCATGGCATTGCAACCTTGTCATCCGCTTGGGGAAACGAGTAACGTAACCTAAGTGACCCTTTATCTATAAACCACGTACCTGACTCGGCGTTTTCGTCCACTTTTACTTTAACTTCGATTTTAACACTCGGGTATGAAAATTCTCCAGTATTATTGAAAGTGAATCCGAGGTAGATCCTTGTATGATCAAAGCAACGCTCTTCTGTTGTATCCGTAGAGGTACAGTCATATCTCTGTTAGAAAGGGAACAACACAATGTTAGCATGGTGTACTAGACTTTGGATAAGAAATGGCAATAGGGTTATAGACGAATTGAACACACGATACAATTTGTAGGAATGAATAAAAAGTCTGGAGACGTAGCAATATTTTTGAAAGGCTTAAAGTATGAAAGATTTGGTCTTGATTTTTTTTTTATTGAGCATGGCGAGAAAATTGCCAATCTGTTCTGTTTTCTTTGTTTCATGTCTCGTGATCGCTTTGGAGACTTAAGTTTAGTTCGCATGATACTATTCCAATCAGTATCCTGTCGAATTGGTCACAAGTATTCTATTTAATGGCAGCACTCTCGTTTTGGCTAATTATTCACAGCGGCAAAAACAGGAAAGCTTCGAAGTCCATTTCGTCTGCATTAGTCCTTCACACCTATATACAAGCTGCGGAACATACAACTGCTCCAACATGAAAGTAATGATCTAAATATTATCACAAGAAATATGGAAAAGGAAGCAGTTATTTGAAAATCGTGCTTGCAGATACAGAAAGTACTTTGCTGCACCATAGAGCAATTTCGTCTGTAGAGGACTCATCAGACAGTGGTACTAAAGGTGGCATGGTAGTCTAGTGGTAGGACGCCGGGCTGGTGACCAAAGGGTCGTGGGTTCGAGTCAAATCACGGCACTGTGTTGTATCTTTGAACAAGATACTTTACTCCGCGTGTTCCAATCTACTCAGCTGTAAATGAGTACGTGGTTCGGCACTGGTTGAATTGTTGAATGCTAGATGTGAGCGTCGAAATGGCAGCACTGGCTGCATGCTCCCCAGGGAGTTGAGAAAGCTATTGGCTGTTTGCAAAGGCCCTATAACCACGAACAATTATTTGTGAACCGCTTTGAGACGACCTACGAACTATTATTGAAAAATGAGAAAGGAAACATCAGTGTGTAAAGTGTTCTGAATAAATACAGCGGAAAAAAGAGTGCCGATTAAACCCGAGAAAACGTTATGAATTTACACCTGGAACGGATAACTGTATCAGACTAAACAAGGGTGTTCGGGTGGCGCAGTGGATAGCGCACTTGCTTTCCACAAAGGCGGCTGGGGTTCGATTCCCCGATCGGACGTGAAAAGGTATGGTGTCACTTGCACGACCACGTGGGTTTTCTGTGGGTACTCTGGTTTCCTTCCACATTAAGACCGCACCCCACCCCCTGCGCTAACATCCGGGTCAACAAGAGTGATTAATATAAGTTGAATTAACTTGTTTCATAATTGTTGTAAAATAAATGAAGTTTGTATTATTACATAACAAGGAGAAAACAGATCTAACTCAAAAGACAATGTAGGGGATCTCGCTTATGACTGTTGTTGTAAAGAGTTTTGTTGTGTACACGTATAAAGCTTTAACTCTTCGCAACAGCTGAGTCCTACATGTATGAAGACGGGTGCCTGAACAAACCTTGCCGGAAAAAAGTATTGATTGCAATGGTACAGAATATCAATTATAGGTTTTTGAAGAAAGCCTCCGATTCTCTAGGGAGGCAAATACAACGGCCTCTCAGATGGCATTTAGTGACTTACAATTGGTCTGCACTCCCCAAACCTGCAGGCACAGAAGTGCTGAAGCTGTGGGATAATTAGAAATTATTGTTTGGAATTTTGGAAATTAATCGCATGAGAGTTTTTACCAATTGATGAGGTAGTCGGTTCCAATTACAATTTTTGATGACTCAATTATGAATATTTGTTTCTGTGATACATCCCAACGTGACTCTTTGAACTCTTGTAGCGGAGATTTGAGAGTATAATATTGATATGTAGGTGGACTGAGTGGACAACACTTCATGATATCTGACTATATGTAAAGATGGGGTTAAAACCAAATAGCTTACCTTGACGGGATATTCGGCTAAATCCTCATATATCCCGAGGGTAAAAGAACAGTGATCGACACGGAATATATCGATGTCAACGCATATTGCATATGGGGCTTCCGTAGCTTCAAATCCCACACGACAACGAGCAGGGATGACCTCGCCCGTCCATCTAATTGTTTGTGATTGTTCATGCGAAATGAAGAGAGTCTGAAATCGAAATAATCAAAATATTACGGGGAAAAAAATATATGCGAAGGTAACAGTCGTACAGTAGCGCACGGTGGCCATGGGTGTTATTTTTGTACACTGAATAACCCCTGAAATATTACATGTATCAAAAGTTTAAAAAAAATCAGCTCTAAAATTGGCATATACATGATGAATTGGACTTTGTGGGCTTCACTTTAACAAAACAAATGAATTTGGCTTGAGACTACATTTTTGGCCATATACGAATCTGTGTCTACACAACAAAAGCTAGCTTTTCATGTAATCTATTTTTGTACTCAGCACATGTGTAAATATTGTGAAAAATCTAGTTTGACGACCTATGCTAAAACGTGAGTATCTGTGACCGAGTAAGTGATATTTATTTAAGACAGGTTTTAAGAAAGAAAAAAAATGCTTGCGTGGGTCAAATTTTGGGTTAAAAATCATGTTTTTTTTTGCATTTTTTGACGTTTTTTGATGTGGTAACCACGGTTTTCACAAGTCCCAAATCTGGGAAAATCACTTTTTGAAAATATATTCATTCTCCTAAAAAATACGTATTCAAAATGTAGTTAATAAATATTAATATATATGTTGGTGTGTTGTGAAGGATGAATCCGCTATCCATGTTCATCCCAGACATGCCCTTTATTTTTAGGGTCAAGCCATTTCTACTGTACTCTGCTACCTTATATACACAAGCATTGCGTTTTTCTGAAAAAAAGCCCTTTTTATGCTTGATTCAGCATCACTTTCATTCATTATTGCTTGAAACTACTAACGTTTAAAAGGTTACATGTATAGGTCAATATATAGGTCACTGGCCTATTACCTGTGGATGTATAAAGGGGGGTAACTCGCCCTTTTCACGGGCACTTCACAATTCATCACACATGTATCAATTGTGTAATTGGTAAAGTTGATACCAAACATAAAATAGTTCACAGGCTATCTCCTTATGCATTCAGACTAGATTTCAGTTTGTTTCACTCAGTTCAGCACCGGGTATCCATGGTTACTAATACATAAAGTTGCATTTGTTGAAAATGGGTAAAATATCTGTTTTCATTCTATTTTTCCCACTTGATACAGCATACAGATTAAATTAGCAAAGGCAGTAATGTCAATAAATTTTATTTCCAAAATAACAGCTGAAGAAAATCTTTTTTTTTCTAGCAAAATATGTTAAATGAACAATTTATGAGGATCACTGTCAATTCTAGGTGAGGAAAGTAAATAACGATTGCTATGGTGGCACTTGTCTGATGTTTCAGAATATCTGACATTTTGGTGCTGTTCATCGGTTTCGGGAAGTGTGTCTGTTGCTAGTTTGTTGTTGTGATGAGATTCCTAGTGCTCATTTTGATATCAGTGAGTCTTTATGATGTCATACATGCCCATTGATGACGTCATAGTTATGATGACATCGAAGTTATTATGACGTCATCAAACAAGACAGAAACATCATAGTATCACTGTACTTTTTTGTTTTCTACATGCACATCGTCTCAAAGCATCATATTTCACACAAAAAGAAATTTTGTTCATGAAAAATTTAAACCTATTCAAGTTTTTAATTTTTCAGATAACCTCCCTTTATTGGTAGTTTGAGAGCAGAATTGGTAAAAATTCACCTGTCAGGAGAATTCATATTACTCGGTCACGTTTAAAGTGAGAAAGGAAACGGATACATCTTTTTGTTCATCTTGTCATTTTCCAGACATTTTAAAGGTTTTGATTAAGTTTTGGAAAAAGAAAGTGATGCGTAAGGTAGCAGTGTACAGTAGCGTACGGTGGTCATGGGTGATATTTTTGTACAATGAATAACCCCTGTGATATAACAGGTATCAAAAAAACCCAAAACACCTCAGCTCTAAAATTGGCATATACATGATAAATTGGACTATGTGGGCTTCAAATTTAAAAAAAAAAATGAATTTGGCTTGAGACTACATTTTTGGCCATTTACGAATCTGCGTCTACACAACAAAAGCTAGCTTTTCATGAAGTCTATTTTTGTACTCAGCACATGTGTAAATATTGTGCTAAAACGTAAATATTTGTGACCGAGTAGGTGATATTTAATTTAAGACAGGTTTTAAGAAAAAAAAATACTTGCGTGGGTCAAATTTTGGGTTAAAATTCATGTTTTTTTGTTCGTTTTGGCGGTGTTTTTTTTACCACAACCATGGTTTTCACAATTCCCAAATCTGGGGAAATCACTTATTGAAAATATATTCATTCTTCTAAAAACAAAAATTCAAAATGTAGTTTATAAATATATATATATATGTAGGTGTGTTGTGCAGGATGAATCCGCTATCCATGTTTATTCGAGACATGCCCTGTATTTTTAGGGTCAAGCCATTTCTACTATACTCTGCTACCAAAGCAATTTCGATCACATAACGTTAACAAAACTAGTGTACCAATTGTTTCGTTTTCTTTCCAAAACCAGAATATTTCTACAATAGAATTGTTTTTCTATATCACGGAGAGGACTATTTTTAGCAGACACTCTTGTCATCAAATCTGGTTATATTATTTGATATAGCCTCTTACCTTAGAATTACAATTAGAAGCATCCAGTGTTACTAAGCTGTAGGCATCTGTTAAAAAAAAGATTATGGTTGAGCAAAAACGTAACGAATCAACAAACGTTAACACAACAGAGATAAATAAGTGAAGTATAAGTATGGACCACAAGTGTTGTAATCTGTACTCCCCCTGTAAGTATCCAATGGGACCACAAGTATTGTAATCTGTACTCCCCCTGTAAGTATCCAATGGGACCACAATTGTTGTAATCTGTACTCCCCCTGTAAGAATCCAATGGGACCACAATTGTTGTAATCTGTACTCCCCCTGTAAGTATCCAATGGGACCACAAGTATTGTAATCTGTACTCCCCCTGTAAGTATCCAATGGGACCACAATTGTTGTAATCTGTGCTCCCCTCATAAGTATCCAATGGGACCACAAGTATTGTAATCTGTACTCCCCCTGTAAGTATCCAATGGGACCACAAGTGTTGTATTCTGTACTCCCCTCGTTAGTATCCAATGGGCCCACAAGTATTGTAATCTGTATTCCCCTCGTTAGTATCCAATGGGACCACAAGTGTTGTAATCTGAACTCCCTTCGTAAGTATCCAATAGGACCACAAGCGTTGTAATCTGTACTCCCCTCGTAAGTATCCAATGGGACCTCAAGTATTATAATATAAACTCCCCTCGTTAGTATCCAATGGGACCACAAGTGTTGTAATCTGTACTCCCTCGTAAGTATCCAATGGGACCATAAGTGTTGTAATCTGTACCCCCCTCGTTAGTATCCAATGGGACCACAAGTGTTGTAATCTGTACTTCCCCTTCTTAGTATCCAATGGGACCACAAGTATTGTAATATGTACTCCCCTCGTTAGTATCCAATGGTACCACAAGTGTTGTACTCTGTACTCCCCTCGTTAGTATCCAATGGGACCTCAAGTGTTGTAATCTGTACTCCCCTTATAAGTATCCAATGGGACCACAAGTGTTGTAATCTGTACTCCCCTTGTAAGTATCCAATGGAACCTCAAGTATTATAATATGTACTCCCTTCGTAAGTATCCAAAGGGACCTCAAATGTTGTAATCTGTCTTCTCCTCGTTATTATCCAATGGGACCACAAGTATTGTAATCTGTACTCCCCGCGTTAGTATCCAATGGGACCTCAAGTATTGTAATCTGTACTCCCCTCGTACGTATCCAATGTGACCACAAGTGTTGTAATCTGTACTCCCCTCGTTACTATCCAATGGGACCACAAGTGTTGTAATCTGTACTCCCCTCGTAGTACCAAATGGGACCACAAGTATTATAATAAGTACTCCCCTCGTAGTACCAAATGGGACCACATAGAACTGGAGATTACTGTCTGGACCTCGAAATCAAGACTCATGATTGTTTTGTTATTTCTGCACACAGAACAACAAATTTATTTAATCTTGAATGAATTGATTAAAGAGAGTAAATTTGAAAACAAATATGAAGAAAAGTTTCACTTCACCATTATGGTAAACTGTAAAGGGTCGTGATTGGCCAAAAGCTCACGTGATCCACTAAAACAAACAGTGTGATATTGTACAAATATGAAAAACTGTTTTCTGTACTACTTTGTGCTATCGCATTTGATGTAAAACAGTTCATTTTAAAAGTTAATAAATGAATAAGTTACTAGAAGGGCAGCCATCTTTCCCCGGATGTGTTATATTTAACTCATTCATATAAAACCGGCTGTCATTCCAGATCTATTCAGAAGGAATTCGTACTTTGATGACATATAAAATTGAACTGAAATTATACATACATAGTGTGCCAATCGTCATGCGCATGACAAAAAAAAACATATAGACTGTCCGGACGGACGTTCAGCTTTTTAGACATTTCTTGTAGTATTTGACTCGTATTTCAAGAACATATATTTTATTAAAATTAAGACAAAGAGAGGTCCACATACCTGTACGATAAACCATCAGTGCTATAAATAGTGCAGGGATGCAAGCATTTTCTATCCATTGAGACATCTCCGTCATAAGTCGGATATTCCCGGATGAATTCGGGAAAGTCCTGTGATGATGCAGCAAAAAGCTATATCATGGTGCTCATGCCTGGAAGGAAATCACAAATTTAAAGTCTTTCGAAATTTTACTCTTTGACAAATTACCAATTGCACAACACACCGGCGGAGGGAGCTACGGTGGAAACAATTAAACCGGGTATCTTGTTGATGTTTCTTATAGAAGATATTATTATAATTGTACCTATTTTTCATTTCCTTGACTTTATTTCTTGTCTTTTCCCCTATTTTGTTATAATTTTATTTCCATTCATCTAAAGAAAGAAATCGTCCATGGTTGTCTCGAGGATGGCATTATACAAAATAAAAGCCATAAATGAAAATGAATTCCTTTGCCAACTGGTCAACTATGTGTGTATTTCCTGATTGCGGCGATCTTATGTGGGTCCCCTGCAGAAACCATCCTTGGAACTCTAGGGGGTTACACTCACTTATATTGTAGCAGAGGACGTAAAAGAGTGTGTAACCTTTGAAATTTCAAGGAAGCAGAATCGGGGGCTATCGTGTGTAGAACAAAGACAATCTCTTGTTCTATAACAATAGTTGGACCTTAACCGTTTCCATCATTTAAGTGTTTTACCATCAGTGAATCTCTGTCTCGCTTGACACATCTAGTCCCTATGTCTAACGCGTGGCCCTTTATGACCTTATTGAGGATGCCTTACTTAGACGTCAGAAGGATGCAATTCGTCGGATTGAATTTGTGAATAGACAAATAGTTTTGTTTTGTTTTATTTAACGTCCTATTACAGCGAAGGCCATTTAAGGACGTACCTCCATGCGTGTTGTGTATGCAAGCATGTGTGTGTGTGTGCTGGATACGGTGTGTTGGTGTATCTGCCTCCCTCGATAGCGCGGATATGCTGCCATTGCCGATTGTTTTAAGTGCTATCACACTGAAATACCATGCCGAAGGCACCAAACCCAGTATTTGTCTCGATCACATCATACTGACAACGGGCTAACCAGTTGTTCAGTAGGGAATAACAACTTCCATTTATAAGGAGGTCGGAATGCCTCGGTCTGAGCAGAGAAACCAATGTCTTCCTCACATTGGCGAACGTTTTACACTAAGGTTCGCTAGAAGAAAAACACCTGAGTGTATTGTGAATAAAAATTGGATATTCAATATAATCTCATAGACTCATTAAAACTAGCTTGGATAAGAAGATTACTCTCAACAACAGGAACATTGCAAATTATTTTTAATTCAACTATTGATAAAAACCTTCTTGTAAACTGTGGATCAGACTATATTTCCTTTTGTCATAATGACTTTAAAAAGCTTTTCTGGAAAGATGTCTTTCTTGCATGGAAAAAATTACTATTCTTTAGGAAAAATATACAGATTCAAAACAGATTTCTGACATGCCCATATGGTTTAACGAAAAAATCAAAATAGATAATAATAGTGTTTTTTATGAGGATTGGTATAGGAAGGGAGTTGTAGTAGTTAATGACTTAAAAATGGATAACAACAACTTCTTCAGTTCTTTTGGAATTAAGAGAAATATATGGTGTTAGAGCAAATTTCTTACAATATCACGGAATTGTTACAGCTATAAAGGAGGTTTGCAGTCGGTGTAACTTGACCCATCCAAAAATAGACTATCCTTTTATTCCAAGAAAATTACAAATATTTGCTAAAGAACAGAAAGGTACAAAATATTTGTATAATGTGCTTAATAAAAATGATATAATTGCAAGTGGAACAAAAAAATGGGATGAACAATTTGAATTTGATGAAGGTGATTGGAAAATGATTTTTAAACTCCCTTTTTCTGTAATACAGTCGACAACTAGGCGCCTTTTTTTCGAATTGTTTTACGCCTTCGCACAGAATGATGTCCCGCCCTATCAGTGGCGGAAAACAAATGAGGTAACTTTTTTGGAGTAGCTTCCTTTTCGCATACATACAGGTAGCCAATGATAGGGCGGGACATCATTCTGTGCGGAGCGTAAAACAATTTGAAAAAAAGTGGCGCCTAGTTGTCGACTGCTACTGTGTAATGCAGGTGTGCGAGGGGAAAAATCCCGATATACCGCTTGTCATGTGTAGAATCTGATCGACGTATTATTTCAGAGAAGCGGGCAGCACATGTATTGGATTGAGGATATTAAATAAGGATTTAAACCATTCCTTGGATATAATTCTCGAGTTTATCCGTGAAACTTGGTCATTTCTCGTGAGTATAGAATTTGGTTCGGTCGCAATTTAACGGTGTAATTGCGACTTTAAAGTGGTGTCAGTGGATAACTATGTGTCAGACAGTCGTAATTAGGGTTTCATTTTGTAAATAAATCATTTGTCTTCAATATTCAACCGAGGTTTATCCAATATGGACAAAGATTTGTGATTGACACGAGCTGAAAGAGAAAAGGGGGTAACCTATTTCAGTCTGTCGTTATATCCCTTTGTATTTATTAGTATAGGAGACCCCTTTATTAATATTACAAGTAAAGCGATCCATGCCCCTGTGGTCACCCCTAGAGCTATCCACTTATCCGGCTACCAAGGGAACCAATGGTATTCATCAATGATTTAAAAAAAGATAATGGTGATTAAGTAACTTTATTAAAAATACCGAAATATTATCTTCTTTACCTTTTTTCAATCTCGCAAACATTTTGTGTGTCGCTATGTGTAGGCCTATATTGTGAAATATTTCAAAAGGCGCCCATTTATTTCAAAATACAATCATTTATACAAGAGATAGAAGAGCGACCCGAATCGATAATACTGTTTTTCGCCATGCTACTATTCCAGAAAGTTATTGACTAATAAAATAACTTCAGCCAATAATACATTTCCTCTTTCTCTACCGACCCTACATTTAAGTGTGTTGTTTGAATTCCTTTATTGTAAACAGAGATTGTTTAAAGGACAGCATTCCACCCGTCAATGTATATACATGTAACCTAATCTACTGCCACAACACGCGTTACACACTCAAAATGTACTCGCATACTGGCCAACAAGTCGTCACTTCACTCAAACGTTAGCCTAGAAGACGTGAATAACGCTGACCAGTGGTCGATCATTTTATATGCCGACAGAGTGAGAAATCATGAGTGACCAATATAAGTATGACGATTTGACCGACAGCACGGAGGGTTGGTCGGTTTTATACTGTGTAATACGGTACAATTTAGCACATTTGACATTATAATTGATATACCCTACCTGTGTTGGGGTCAGCAAGTCGTAAGACTACTTCCGGTAGTATAAGAGCCTGGTTTCCTTGGTATTTATGTACACTGCCTGCTAATCGATTTCTGACTGCGAAACCTTCCACTACGCCAGCCAACTTTATGAACGTATGTGTTATAAGCAGTATACTATACACATACCTGAGTGTATTTTTAGAACCGTGTCGTCAAACCGGTGCTAAAGTAGGCCATGCGTGGTAACACTTTAAGTAATCAATTAAATTGCATTACATTTGAACATTTCGACGCATTTTTACTAGAGGGACGGAGTTAGCAACCTTGATTATATCATAGATGTATCACAGGCAAATGCGTCAGGTCAGTAATCCGGCGATTCTCCCTTCCCTCTAGTTGTGGATGTATTGACAGACGAGGCTAGTACCTGTGCTCTATTGGCAAGGCCCAAAATAAGAAAAACTGATAATCAGAACATCAGGGTTTGCCAAAAGATTTTGATAAACCTTAATTTAAACCTCCCAAGAAATGTTCACACTTTAAAATATAGCGAAAGGTGATAAAGATAAAAGCAAAACACCCAACTACTAGTCTACGACACAACACTTTACTTACAAACTCGCTAGTCGATGTACATGTTTAAAACCGGAAGTTACAGACTGAAACTAAACAGGGGAAAATCCGGAAAGGGAAGTTATAATATTAGAGTACAACGGTATGGCTATTCGGAATACACCAAACATTTAATTAATATGGTAATCAAGCATTAATGTTTTAATTTTGTGAAATGTTTACATTCCTACGGAACCCGGCGATATTATCAGGATACAACTCAGTAAACTCAAAACCTTAATATTCCAGAGGCTTTAAATACTAAAATATAAGTACAATTGATTGTACCTATCTCCAATTGATTGTTCCTCTCTCCAATTGATTGTACCTATCTCCAATTGATTGTACCTATCTCCAATTGATTGTACCTATCTCCAATCGATTGTACTTATCTCCAATCGATTGTACCTATCTCCAATCGATTGTACCTATCTCCAATTGAATTGTACCTATCTCCAATCGATTGTACCTATCTCCAATTGATTGTACCTATCTTCAATTGATTGTATCTATCTCCAATTGAATTGAACTTATCTTCAACTGAATTGTACATATCTTCAATTGAATTGAACCTATATGCAAGCAATTGTACCTATCTTCAATTATTTGAAAAAGGTACAATTAATTGAATACATGTTGGTTTGGCGTTCCATATATCTATGGAACGTCAAATTAACACATATTAGAATAATTGAAAGTACATTTCAATATAAGATAGGTTTAATTCGTCATATTTTAACCTATTTTTAATTGAATTGTACCTATCTTCAATTGAAATGTCTCTATCTTCAATTGAATTGTACCTATCCTCAATTATTTGAAGATAGGTGCAATTATTTGAATATATGCTATTTGGCGTTCCATATACATTGTGTACTAGACATTTGTAACGAGCCCCTGTGATTTGAGTATGGATGAGGAATAATGGCATGCACTTCCCCGCGGTCCCTACGCTATTCTCTATGCATCCCTGTCAATGACTTTCATAAATGCTCTTCTCCACATGAGTCCCTTGAATATCATGCTGAGAGATATTTCCGTAATATGTGTAGCTGTGTAACAGGAGGCTATTGCAGCGCTGTAAAGATATAAATAGCCATAGTCTCGAGGTTACATGTATACAGTTAGCACACATATCTCAGAGTACGTTTTTCTCCAACTGGCAGCACTATCGCTATTGAATTCTAGGAACAGTGGCGTCTAAAAAAGAACCAGATATGCTTACATAAACCCACGAAACCTCCCGAGTCGACCCGTCATATTTCTGAAAATCACATACCTCATTGAGTGGCCAGCGTCCGCCTGCCTACCGATACATACCTCATTGAGTGGCCAGCGTCCGCCTGCATACCGATACATTTTGGTCCATTGGGATGGTTGCCAATTCATTCTCGACACAACTAGCAACTTATGTCATTTTATGTACACATACAACAATTCAAGTCTTGTTTTTTCCAATATAAAGTGTGACAGTTGCTGTTGCGTGGCTTTTCCACGTTTCAAATAAAGAATAGTATATACAATGTAGCTAAGCTAACCAGACTTTTGCGGGACCGTTTCAGCACGCACATCGGGGTTTGCAATTCCCGATCATCTGAGCAAAGAGCGGCAACTCTTATAAAAAGTTCCATCTACTGTGTATGAGTTCAGCCTTTTCTTGACAATATTTTGTTCAATTCGGTATTAGATAGTGTACAAAACCACTAGAGGTGGTTGTTACACCTAGGTCTAACAAAATCACTAGAAGTGGTTATTACACCTAGGTCTTACAAAATCACTGGAAGCGGTTATTACACACAGGTCTAACAAAACCACTGGTAGCGGTTATTACCCCTAAGTCTAACAAACTATTGGAAGCGGTTATTACACCTAGGTCTAACAAAACCACTGGTAGCGGTTATTACACCTTGGTCTAAAAAAACAACAAACTTTCATGTATAAATCTTTTTTTTACTATCTGTGGACCGGCCTGAAATAAAGAAAGATGTTACCATGCGAAAACCCTAACATAGATTTGAAAAACAGATCAAACATAAGAAAACATAGGCTAAATATCCTAGATCAATAAATGAACTTTAGATTATGTGTCATTTCAAAACAGTCAGTGATATTATAAATGCGCGAGTCGGGTCAGAAACATTGAAAAGGGTAATGTGATGATAGGTTATATATATCATCATCAAATGTTACGAAAGGACAAAATAACACAATTATGCAGTCGTTACGGTCAAAGGGCCATTGGTTTGTTGGAAATTACATATTTTTCTGATTTTTTATTGGGGCTTGTAAAAATGACTTATCAGAGGGTTGAATTTAGAGCGAATATACCATCGTTCAGGGGGTTAGTTGAACCTTGTGGATGAGAGAACCTCTGCACATCAAAGGATGCAAGCGCGAATCTTATCAAATCATAATTTTAAAATTTACACCAGAACATTCGATCCAGTGTCCATTAGTTCGACCTTAGTACGGTTTAGTTGCTTTTATTAAAAGTTTAAATTCTGCTTAACTGGAATGCAGATAAATCTATTTAATTATAGACACATACGTACCGGCATTAATAATAATAAATCCTAAATTGAAGGTTCTCTTTAAGACCATATTCATTTCTATTACTGCTATATCGCTGTGGCGACCTAATATATGACGTCATAGATTATCATGTCATAATGAATCACTTTGAAGAGATGAAAGTACTACCGATGTGTTGAAGAGTGTTGTTTTTATTTCTTCGTCCGTACGGATAATCTACTACTGATATAAAACCCACAAAGCATAGACGTCTATCAAGAAGTCGAAGTGTCGGAGTGTGTGCCAAAGAAAGAAGAAGTCATAACACCAGACATAGAGCTGTAATGTATAGACATTAGAATGTAGATTAAATAATATATAGATATACAATATGAAAAGAGAAAACAAAAAAGATACTAATAGTATTCAGCCTTGTGGACTGTTGAATTGGAAATTTAGCTTCGCAGATTTTTTTGTAAATAAAACATAAAAAAATATTTTAAAATAGCAATACTGACATTGAAACGTCCACACAGCAAATACTGTGAGGAATGAAAACGCAGCAATGAGCACTTTCAAGTAGCTACAATGCAGTTCAGGAGATCAGCGGCTAATTATTACTGATACAAAATGGATTTTATGAAAAGTCATTACACGTGTTGAAGCAAACGATACACATGTATATCAAAATAAAAAAGTAACAGGTATTATGAATCTACAATATTTTATTTTTTTAACAAAATGTACATATGGACGTGTTCTCTGCTTTATCACTATATGTAATGATATCATACACAATACACACATTCTTAACGCATTTACTCGCGTATTCAATCTGATTGAATTGTTATGACCCCATACACTGTTATTTAATAACTACTTGTTTTGTGTACAAATATGCATATTCATGATGGAAGTGATAAAATTACGTTCCACAACTAAAATGGGAAACCATTGGCTATGGTGACAAAGTTAAAATATTTTCTTATACACTTCAAAAGTGATATTCCTTGTGAAACTGTTATTTGATTAGTAGGGACAGTTGCACGTTTTTTGATATTTATTTTTCTGAAATGACAGAATTTACATTATATTTTCATTACTTTTCTGCATGCATTATTCTGTAAAGTTAAAAAGTGCCATTTCATGTCAATGTAATTATATGAGATTCCCTGATGATTTTTTTGTCATGTTTATTATGACGTCATCAATATAACATAACGTTGGACAGTTATTTTATATTAAATAATCATACATTTTAACCATTTTTAATACAGAAGCAAACTTTTTTATTGTACATGGGAAAAATGTAAATACATATGATTGAAGACTGAATTTTCCATTTTGATGCCGATATGTTCTATTGATGACGTCATAATAAACATGACAAAAAAATCATCAGGGAATCTCATATAATTACATTGAATATGCATATTTGTACACAAAACAAGTAGTTATTAAATAACAGTGTATGGGGTCATAACAATTCAATCAGATTGTTTTGTATCAGCATCTTTACATGTTATCCGAATAGTAAGGATTGACAAAACAGTTCTCTGTAGTGAGGTCCCTGGCATAAACAGGAGATCAATACGAAATAAGCATCAGTCATACTAGTTAAAACTATCACATAGTTTTCCGTATCAATTTGTTTGAAAACAGTATTCATCGTCTAAAACATATATTCAGTGTATAAAATTAATAGCATCAGTCACTCTATACCCAAGCCTTCAGTCTAAGCCCTCCATCAGGGATTGATTGGTCCTCACCCTTCTGTCCATCCGTATTTGAATACAGGAAGTTTACGGGCCTGGGACCATTCAATCCCAATCAATGATGAAGGGCTAAGCCCGAAAGCTTTAAAGACGAACTTATCACAACAACATTGCTTGCACCTTTAACATTGTGTATTAGATGCAGTGCGCCAAAAAGGATTTACCCTGCACCATACAGCTATTGCGGCCTTCTAGGACTCGTCGGTGGTGGTTGGGGCCTTAAAGTTGGACACAGCGTTACTGTTACTATATATCTTGCTATGTTCCTTTTAGAATCTTTGTGATAACCATCTATCAAATAAACAAATGGTTGATCTAGTCATCGTAAGTTATCACGTCGTAATAGGAAGGAGGCGGCGCTTCAATCATGGTCTCATGTGGGAGAGGGGCAACGTAGGGCGGTGGATCCCATTCGTTTCCGGTACGAGTTGCAGAAGGATTTAATGGTTCTTCTGCAAGATCATCTGAAAATGAAAATGAAAGGATAGCAAGAAAAAGGAATACCTTCGATTAATTAATTAAAGGTTCTTATCAGGTCTAATTTTAGCGATGCAAATTTACATTTCATACATACTGCATCGACAAATTTACAAATACATTCCATGTTTACTTTAGGGGCTGTCGTTTATGAAATGCGATTTATATGAGAACAAAACAAAACATCTGATTCATTATCACGTCAGTTTGTCTATTTGACATGGATGACATGGCTCGTAGCTTTGAATCAATCAATACAATTGATGGAGTGGTGTTGATGGCAGTTTGAATCATACATCATCAAAGTTATGATCAAAGGATGCACTAAAATTCAAACGCGTATAAAACCAGTCACAATTTTGGAAGACAATAAAAAACCACCGCTCAGGCACTACATAAAAACATGAATTTTCTATTTCGACAATGTCGCATTTCTGAGTGACTGAGTTACCATTATGACTCTTATTCATATTTCAAATTTCAAATTTAATGTTTAAAAAATATCTCATTTTCATTATTATGATTAAAGGAAGAGTCATAGAATACGTACTAAGTGAAATCATACTGCCGGATATTGACAAAATCCCGTTAGTTTCCGTTGTAGTTACTGGAGACGGTTCCAGAGTTATGGTTCTGGACGCTTCATCTGGTACAGTTTCACCGGAACTATACCTATTGCGGGTTGCAGTCTCTGTTTCGCCACAAAAACATTCAGCAATATCGTCAAGCATACCTCGTAGCATTGGACAGAAGCACTTGTGTAGACACACACAGCCATACTTTAGAATCGCGAAGGTACCAGGGATAAGACCAATTACTATTAATATGATTCCAATCGTCGGCATGCCTGAAAATAAATGTGAAATTGAGAAATTTAAAAATCAGAATGTCTCTCATGACGCTTGGTATAACAGATCCGCAACTGAATTAAGATAAAGCAAACAAAACACACGACCAGTTTTCGTGTTTACTAAATCAAACGTATTTCAAATATGTCCTATTTAGCAAATTAACGATACAGAGGAAATCAAACGTGAGGCTTAGGAAGCTGAGTTCGTAAGACTTCTAAGATACAGTTTGAACAGTTTGATTAGTTTAAACATATTTTATTGCAATATAATTACAAAAGGATTGGNGTTTGAACAGTACTGTTTGACTAATGATTTATAAGGTTCAACAAATCTCCAAAAAGAGACAATAGTTACCAAAATTTCCTAGCCCCTGTTAAGTCATTTTAAATACCCTAATTAAAGATAGGAATTTAGGTAATTATGTAATATGAATATATTGAACTTATACATTAGCTATTAAAATCTTGCATAGCGAAGTGAACATAGTCAACCGTTCGGCATTAAGGCTGATGACTTCAGGAATAGTGCGCCGGGCGAATACCATTTCAATACCTTTTTCTGACCGAACTGAATACTACAAAATGACATTTTATCTAAAGTTTATTTATATACAAAGATTATGCGGAATTTGATTTTTTCTTTTACTATCTGTGGAAAGGCATACCGGCCAGAAATCAGGATATATGTTACTATGCGAGCCACTGAAACTGTTGTGAAAGTTCCTAGTTATATATGTTAACATATAAAAATAAATAAGAACACAGGGCTTGATAACCTAGATCAATCTAGATCAATTAATGATTTAGATGATGTCCATATCATAACAGTCAGTGATATCATAAATGCGCTAGACAAACATTGAAACTGACAAGTGTTACAATTTTCATAATCTGTCTGGGTGTTTTTTTTTTTTTTTATACATGTAACAGCATTAAATGTAATGAAATATATATCTATATATATATATATCGGAAAAATATGTTATTAGGACATTTTAGTATGATTGTTGTGCATCCCCATGGCTGCAATCATCCTGTCTTTGAAATTATATGTATACATTCTGGTTTTAATTAGGGTCTTTGAAATTGATTTATCAATGGGTTGAAATTCAGAGTTTCTATAGCATCTTTCAGGGGGTTTGTTGAAACATATGGAAAAGAGATATCCTGCTTATTAAATGATGCAAGCGCGATATCTATAATCTAATCATAATTTCAAAAGTCACACAAAAACATTGGATCTGTTGTACCGAGTTTGACCTCAGTACGATTGAGTTGTTTCATTATATTTAAGTTGTAATACTGCTTAACTGGACTATATCTATAGAAAATGATTAAATTATTGGCACATACATAACAGTATTAATGATAATACTAAATCCTAAATTGATGGTGTTTTTCTTGCGTTAAGTATTTGTATTGCTGTGATATCGCTATGGTAGTAAGGCATAGCGAATATCGCGGTAGTAACATATCATGTGACGTCATAATGTTTACTTTAAATAACAGGTCTGAAAAATGAAGACCTTTTGTTGAGATTTTTTTGTTGTTTTTAAATTATTACTTTGTCCGAAAGTGTAATCTACTACTTATATGAAACCAATAAAACATAGACGTCTATCAAGTAGTCAAACTGTTAGTATATGTGCCAAAGAAAGTAGATAAATTAAACAAAAATGTAAAATTGTATATAATAAAAAAAAGAGAGAAAAAGGTACAATTCAGCATTGTAGTCTGTTAAATTTGAAACTTAGCGTCGCAGATTTGATTTGCATCTTTAATTTTCCGAGTCCACCCGACGGTATGCGCAATAAAACATGAAAATGCGCATTGCAATATCAATGCCGACACTAAAATGTCCACACAGAAAATACTGTGAGGAATTAAAACGCAGTAATTACCACTTTCTAATACCTACACTGCTGTTCAATTGTCTATCTAGGAGCACAAGAAAACACAAACTTTAATGTATACCCAATGGTTAGTGTACCTGACTGCATATTTCATATAAAGAAGTCATCTCATTGCATTTATCTTTGTCCTTATGTTCGTAAAAGAAGCCCTAGCCTATTTACTGACAACACATAACTGATAACCAAGTTATAGTTATAGTCTACACTTACATTCACGTAATAATCATTTAAGCCGCAATATAATCTCATACCATAGTTCGTGAAGAGTGTCCATGAACTCGACAATAATACAATAATATGTGACGTCATCAAAATAATGACGTCATCAACAGAAGGTGTGGGCGGAGTTTATAGAGTCGCATGCAAAATTCAGGCTGTTTCCTTTATTTAACCGATCGCAAATTAATATGTTTTGAAAATGAAATGTGTGTCCGCTGATCAGTCTGATAAATAAAAAAGTATCAATCATACCCCAGAAAAAAACTGCAAACATAAAGAATATTTAAATAAAAAAATTAGTCAGGTTTTGGGAATAAAAATCTACCTATGATAAATGTACATGTGCACCACTGAAGTTATAAACTCGTAACCTGACCAAAATAGAAACAATTATACCTTAAATACACACATACACTGAACTTTGAGAAACAGCAATGTCAAAGTAGAAAAAGAAGAACGTTAAAAAAGATAGCCATAAAAACAAAAAGTAATTTTCAGAAAAGAATATCAGTATTTTTATTGATATAATAACAAAATGATAAGTGTATATAGATGAAAGTCATATATTGCTTATATCACATCATCCTCAAATGTGTCCAAACCTAGACGTTCGAGATCAATGCTTTGTAGTATAAGTAATCCGAACAGCAATATCACTATTTGATTACCTCGATTTTGTATAAAAAGTAATTGTCTCACAGTAACATACCGTTCTGTACAGTGCTATTACACGTGTTGATGGAAACACAGACACACAATTCCATCGCTCATATACATATACAAAAAACCCAAAGGCGTCTTGGCGCCCACCATCGTACCATCTTCATTAGTTCTATGTCAGTTCGATCGTTTCTCTTCTTTTCTTTTATCTGTTTGATCGATTCATGTAAATAGTAATTACACTTTCAGGTAATTTTGGACCTTAACTACATACTGCTGTATATCAATGACATCCTTCAAAGGGAGCTGCTCGTTTTACATACAATGTATTTATTAATATTGTAATAAATGTGAAAGATATAGAACCGATCATTGCAATATTAGAAAGATCAGTTAAGTACTTCCTAGGTATTATTAATTATCGCAATAGATGACTACCTGACAGCTAACTTGGTTTTTTATCAGTCACTATATGCAACACACACCGCAAATCAAGGTTGTTTATTGCCGATATTTTGATATTGCGATTTTTGTAATCGTTGTAATATATTTTGCGATATATTGCAGACTTGTTAGAACAATTGATAAACTTGATGAAACAGTACTTCTGTAACATAGTGTATTCACTTACGAACTTTGTTTGTCATGCCATTCACACGAGTTAATGTATTATAAAATAATAATATATTAGCCAGTACTCTGGTAGATCCAGATCCAGCATTTTTTGCTTTGTATGAGTAATATGACATTTAACTTCTAGAGAGTTTGAATAAGCAATAATAAAGTTGAACTGTCAAAATTCAGGTTGGATCTCTGGTGGTCATCTTGTTTTTATGATCACTCTCAAAACTAAATGTGCATAACTAGGAACAAACAGGAATCTTCATATGCAGTTTGAGAACGATCTGCCCAGTACTTCTAGAGTGATAGTAATGACAAAATTCGTCTAAGGACGGACCACGGACGACAGGCGATTTGATTAGCCAACCATTTGAAGATGGTGGACTAAAATCACAAATAAACGTTTAAAGACCGAACAATGTGATCTGCGAGTTACAAATCTAATGTGATGTTAGTGTAATTATAACTGTTATTTAAGAAATCCAAAAAATAAATTATTTGTCAAAATCAATGAAAAAAATAAATATAAATGCTGATTTACATTCTGTTCAGAGACAATGTTCATATATATCATATTCATAATGAACAAACGCGCGTTTTACGGTCTGTCTGTAAATCCTGAGTTACACGTATGGGGTCATCACTCTGGGCACAATGCAGTAGCAGCTAAACATTTATATATCAGCTAGCCAAATGGATTTACGTAATACGATAATTGAATCAGCAGTATGTCAGCATTAAAAATTGTCAAAGGGAGAAAATATCCAGGAATTAATAGATAAATTGACTAGAATACATATACCACTATGCCCTGAATATGTTAACCATTATCAGTCTCATTAACAATAGTATATACAAAATAAAAACATTTGTTTTATAATATTTTCCAGCGAGAAATATTTAGGAACCATTTCATGTCATTTAAAATCAATAAATAAATAGATAGATAGATATTGTTTTTCATATAATTCTTCGCTTCAAATCACATAAGACCGTAAAAACAGCATCAAAACATCACGTTCTGCATTATCTGTACGACGATGTATACTCGTATAACACTGTTATGTGCAGACATTGTCAATAATAGTTCATACTCATAACATATCATATCGAACGGTTTCATGTTTTTTTTATCAACTAATACATTTTTCATAATTCCTTAATTCCAAAAACGTTAAATCCAACCGAAAGTACACTAAACAAATTCATGATTGTCAAGCATGATCACGACCAAAAGGCGGATTGCGCATATTTTGGAAGATATATAATATTTATGCATTCGACACACTAACGTTTCCAGTCACTACATCATAATATGAAGGAGGCGGTGCCTCTGGGTGTGTACTATCAGGTGGAGGGGCTTGGTAAGGGGGAGGGGCCCATCCATTGTCGGTGGGGGCTGCAGACGGGTGTCCCAAATCAACCGTCAGTACATCATCAAAATCTGAAAACAAACATGAGAGAAAAGGTGAGCGAATGTTTACAAAAGACACCGATACTGAATACTTTTCGTAAATACATCTGAGAAGGGGACAGGCCCAGACTCAGCTACTTTTTTTGTTAGAGATGAGAAATATTATATATTATTATTAGCTGAAACACTCTCAGTAGATTTACTTCAGAAGGGCACTCAAATCAATAGTTGATTGTTGTCACTTTACTTACGATACTTCTCTATAATGAAAAAGTGACTAAATTCTTTCCGTGTCAAAACTACATACCCAAGAACCTAGAAAGCGTTTTGACTCAAACCCAAATATATATGTATTAAACTGAAACCAATATCGAAACCTTCATATCAATAAGATGTTAAGAAGCGATCACAATTTATTTACTTAAATAATGACAATAAATTATATTTATAAAACAATAAGAGTTATACATTATTGTATTTGTTTTGACGTTAAAAAAACTGCAGGGGATCCCTTGATCATTTTATGTTAAGTTTTGAAAGGTCCCGATGGACCTGACGGGGGCATTTTTATTAATTGAAAAAAAATCACTATTGTTATTGCTGCAAATTACACATATTATCATGATATGCATCGTGGATGGACCGTCCAATATTTGAGTTACTGGATTATAAATACAAATTAAATGAGAAAATAAAACACAAACAAATAACATACCTTCTTGTTGAGTGACGTTGTCTGTGGCTACAACAGTTGAGGTGGTCGTCGTAGCTTCCGGTTCCTGAAATCGAGGCTGGCAGCAAGCCATTACTTTTCTACACTCAGATGTATCAACTGACGTCACACAATTCTGACATTTCTCCTTCAGGAAGCAGCATGGGAAAGTTACCAAACCGCACAACGGCTCAAAAATATTGTCACATGGGTCTTTTAAACATTGCTTGAGCTTCTTGTTGAATACTACGATAAGAAATCCCATTAAAAGTAAAAGACCTATGACCCCAGGTACCGTCTCTCCCGAGGCAGCTTCTGAAAATAAAGAAATGACAATGACTTCATTGAAGTAATTCTACGCGGAGTCTGTTACTGAAGACTATAAAGCAACATACCTATGTAACTTAGCTAAGGCAAAATATGTTGACATTTTCCCACACCTTTGTTGTTACTATACATGTAAATGTTTAAATGTTTTTCATCCCGATAATCTTGCCTTATCTACTGCCAAATAGCTTTTGCATTCAAAGTACTGAGCAACCGATGTCATTGACGGCGTAACGTCATAAATGTTGGGCGATTTCTGTCAGTGGTTGTTATCTTTTTATGTAATAAACACACGACGATTGGGAGGCTACATCTTCCGTGTGATTGAGGGTTGTAAGATACATAAAAACGCAAGCGGTGACTCGTATGATTCCGTTGTGTTGCCGGTGAACAATACAGTGTTACAAATATATATATACATAATAAAAAGGATTTAATGGCCATGTGAAGTATGTAAGTATAGGAAACAAGAGGCACACGGGCCTTAACGGTCACCTGAGTCCTACAGTAATATTTTTTGTTGTTGAAATATGTCAATCATCCCTACCAAAATTTGAGTAAAAGAAAGTTAAGCATAACTTTAAGTTGATTTTTGATCATTCCTAGGCAGATTTTCAGTTAATACGACCTATTAGAACTTGATTTTAAGTTAGAAATAGTTTTTTTTCCAAAATGGCAGCCATTACGGCCATATTGATGAGTTTTGATGGACCCGAAAAATAACATTTTGCCAGGACCATGAGTTGATCATTCCTACCAAGTTTCAGTTAAATGAGCCTAGTAGAACTTGACTTTAAGTTTGAAATAGTTTTTAAAATGGTGTCCATATTGGATTTCTGATCGACCCAAAAAATAACAGGACGTTGTCAGGACCTTGAGTTGAGCATTCCTACCAAGTTTCAGTTAAATCGGCCAGGTAGAACTTGGCTTTAAGTTAGAAATAGTTTTTTTAAATGGCGGCTGTGACAGCCATATTCGATTTCTAATTGACCCCAAAAATGACATCACTTTGTCAAGAACATAAGTTGATCATTCCTACCGAGTTTCAGTTAGATTGGCCCAGTGGAACTCGACTTTAAGTTTAAAATAGTTTTTTTTAAATGGCCGGCCTTAGCGGTCATATTCGATTTTTGATCGACCCGAAAAATAACAGCACTTTGTCAGGACCATGAGTTGATCATTCTTACCACGTTTCAGTTAAATCGGCCCAGAAGAATTTGACTTTAAGTTTGAAATAGTTTTTCAAAATGGCGGATGTGACCACCATATTGGATTTCTGATTGACCCAAAAAGTAACAACATTTGTTCAGGGAGTTGTCAGTAACACTCCCATATAGTATCAATGAAATCCCTTTGACAGTATTTCAGATTAAGTTGAAAATTTCAAATGTTAACGGACGACGGACGACGCACGACGGACGACGACGTACGAAGACGGAGAGCAATAGTACACTTGAGCTAAAGCTCAGATGACCTAAGAATTTGATCTAACAACCGACTTAACAAACAAGCTGCTTTCTGCCTTCACGGGGCTCTAAAAGCAGAGCCATGTGAAGGGTGAAAACAGCTTGTTTTTAGTCGGTCGTTAGATTTAATTTTTTCTCTCTATATACATATATAAATAATACACAGAAGCACAATCGCGTCATAAAGTGCATATTCACCAAAGTATCAACGACATGACAGCGAAAATGTGTTTACTGAATAGACATCTATTGAAAATAATAACGACATATAAGAAACAACAAAACATCCACATAAGAAAGCCAAATCTTATTAAACCTGATACCAGGAATTGGTTTAGGGATCATCAAGAGGGTACAGCTCGGTACAAATAAATAGAATGTTCAACTCTACAGGAATATCCATTGACGAAGACTGTTTAACTTCATATCAATGACATTCTCTTCATTTTGCTCGTACAGTGTATTTTATTTCGCGAACAATGGTTCTTTTTTTTTCGCGAATACAATCGCGATTGCAATTACCTTTTATTTCTGGTAAGTTTCTATGGATAATTTTTTTGGAAAATATTTGAATTCTAGAACGAGTCCAGGAAAATTACACAGCCAAAAATTTACCAGCAAAAATCACAGTAATTTACGGCATTTGAAGAAGTATATATTGTTCCCCAATAAACCAAACCAATAACATGGCCTTTTGTTTTATAATCATCATCATCCCATATGCACAATGACAATCACCATCATCATCATCATCATCATCATCATCATCACATATGTAATACCATGGATTTCTCAGACTATTGATCAAAGTATAATTGTACATCAATTACATCTCGTGCAACAAAGAAACAAAACAATTTTTAATCCTTCCATTATATCAATGAAGGATATGATTTTTTAAACTTTATTCAGTTAATAAAATCAAGCTCGTTAGATAATAAATATTGAACGGAAATCCATAAAATCCCCTATTTTCTTCTTTTATATCTTAAGTTGAATCCTCTAACTGTCAATTAATATTCAAAACGGTCTGTCTGGAGGACAATTTCGAAGGGTTCAGAATGTCACATGGTGTTATGTGGTAGAACCGTACTGAACAAATGATCAAACTCAGTAAGAAATTTTTGTGTATGTCATTGGTCTGCATTATTGGTACTACTGTACAGTGACACTAGATTACGCAGGTACAAAACACACAGGCAAAGATGTTGCAAAAAGACAGCCAGGAACAAAGGAAAATCCAATTCAAAAGGGAAGACCATGGTGAACCATAAAATACTAGATGCCTGGAAGTGTACCCCATACAGCACCAGTCGTGTTGTATCCCGTCAAATTCAGGAAAATATTCTACTACCAGCATTCTGCAAGATACAGTAAATATGTCAGACACTGAAACAAAATATGGAAACCATGAACAGAGATTTGATTTCCCCAGTTCATAAGAAGTAGATTTATTGTTATTTACAAAAAGTAAGATACATATTTCTCTGATAAACAAAAACTGGGAAACTTCTGAAATTGACAACCAAGAAACTATATGTTGCCATAAAAAAAAGCAAACCGAACATTGCTAATAGTAGTTTGGAAAGAAGATGGTTTGTTAATTACATGATATGGTGGGTAGGATTATTAGCATCAACAACATAATGGAAAGCATACCTGTTTCGATCACCATGGCTCCTGTTCAAAACTGCATATCTTAATTTGTATCAAGCCCCAACGATTCCTTTTGTCCGTAAAATCAGCGCGATAAAAAATGACCGTGTTTCATGACAACGATGACTTCATACAAAACGAATTATGTTTATAATAGTAATTTTAAACTATATGGTTTACCTGTACCAAGAAACCCGAAAACGGGTCAGAATCCTACCTGTTAAACTACTGGTAACAACACCTGTAATGTAGTAGGTCGTCAGAGGATTCTTAGAGACACAGTTTATACTGGGATCAAACAGACCCCCATTGTATTATGTCTATAGAGGAGTAACATGGCATTGCAACATTGTCATCCACTTGGGGAGACGAGTAACGTAACTTAAGTGACCCTTTATCTATAAATCACGTACCTGACTCGGCGTTTTCGTCCTTTTTTACTTTAACTTTGATTTTAACGCTCGGGTTTGAAAACTCTCCAGTGCTATTGAAAGTGAATCCGAGGTAGATCCTTTTATGATCAAAGCAAAGCTCTTCTGTTGTATCCGTAGAGGCACAGTCATATCTCTGTTAGAAAGGGAACAACACAGTGTTAGCATGGTGTACTAGACTTTGGATAAGAGATGGCAATAGGGTTATAAACGAATTGAACACACAATACAATTTGTAGGAATGAATAAAAAATCTGGAGACGTAGCAATATTTTTTAAAAGGCTAAAAGTCTGAAAGTTTTGGTCATGACAATTTTTTTATTGAGCATGCGAGAAAATTGCCAATCTGTTCAGTTTTGTATGTTTTATGTCTCGTGATCGCTTTGGAGACTGAAGTTTAGTTCGCATGAGACTATTCCAATCAGTGTCCTGTCGATTTGATCATAGACAAATATGATATTTAATGGCAGTACTCTCGTTTTGGCTAATTGATCATAGCGTCAAAAACAGAAAAGCTTCGGAGTCCATATTCGTCTTCAATATTCCTTCAACACGTACAATGTATATACAAGCTGTGGAACATGCAACTTCTCCAATATGAAAGTAATGATCTAAAAGTAATAATATAAAAATAATCACTAGAAATATGGAAAATGAAGCAAGTATTTGAAAATCGCGTTTGTGATACAGAAAGTACTTTGCTGCACCAAATACCATTTTCATCTGTTGAGGACTCATCAGACAGTGGTACTAAAAAGATGGCACGGTAGTCTAGTGGTAGGACGCTGGGCTGGTGACCAAAGGGTCGCCGGTATCTTTGAACAAGATACTTTACTCCGCGTGTTCCAATCTACTCTAATGCAAATGAGTACGTGGTTCGGCAGTGGTTGAATTGTTGAATGCTAGTTGTAAGCGCCGAAATTGCAGCACAGGCTGCATGCTCCCAATGGGGTTGAGAAAGCTATTGGCTGAATGCAAAGGCCCTATAACCACGAATAATAATTTGTGAACCTCTTTGAGACGACCTACGAACTATTATTAAAAAAAGAGAGGAAACAACCGCATGCAACGTGTTCCGAATTACACAGCGGAAAAAGAAAGAGTGCCGAGAAAACCCATGAAAACGGGTGGCACAGTTGATAGCACACTTGCTGGACATCAAGGCGGCCGGGGTTCGATTCTCCGATCGGACGTGAAAATGTATGGTGTCACCAGCACGACCACATGGGTTTTCTGCGGGTACTCTGGTTTCCTTCCACATTAAGACCCCCCCCCCCCCCCCCCCATACACACACACATAAACACACACAGCGCTAAGTAATATAAGTTCAACTTACTTGTTTCATAATTGTTGTAAAATAAATAACGTTTATATTATTACATAACAAGGAGAAAACAGATCTAACGCAGAAGTCGATGTAGGACTATAAAGGGATCTCGCCCAATGACTTGCGTCTGTAGTAAAGCGTTTTGTTGGGTACGTGTATAAAGCTTTAACTCTTCACAACAGCTGAGTCCTACATGTATGAAGACGGTTGCCTGGACAAATAATGCCGAAAATAGAAAATATAAAAATAAATGGTAGAAGAGAAAAAGTATTGCAATGGTAGCAGAATATCAATCATAGGTTTTTGAAGAAAGCTTCCGATTCTCTAGGGAGGCAAATACAACGGCCTCTAAGATGCCATTAAGTGACTTACAATCGGTCTGTATTCCCCAAAGCTGCAGGCACCGGGGTTTGAAGTGCTGTGGCTGTGGGATTATTAGAATTTATTGTTTGGAATTTTGGAAATTAAACGCATGAGAGTTTTTAAGAAAAATGAGGTAGTCGGTTCCAATTAGCATTTTTGATAAGACTCATTTATGATATTTGTTTCTGTGATACATCCCAACGTGACTCTTTGAACTCTTGTAGCGGAAATTTGAGAGTATAATATTGATATGTAGGTCGACTGAGTGGACAACACTTCATGATATCTGACTACATGTATGGGTGGGGTTAAAACCAAATAGCTTACCTTGACGGGATATTCGGCTAAATTCTCATATATCCCAAGGGTAAAAAAACAGTGATCGACACGGAATATTTCGATGTCAACGCATACCGCATGCGGGGCTTCAGTAGCTTCGAATCCCACACGACAACGAGCAGGGATGACCTCGCCCGTCCATCTAATTCTTTGTGATTGTTCGTGCGAAATGTAGAGAGTCTAAAATCGAAATAATCAAAATATTATGGGGAAAAATATGCAAAGCAATTCCGATCACAGGACGTTAACAAAATCATAGTTTTCTTAAACTAGAGTACCAATTGTTTTGTTTTCTTTCCAAAGCCAGAATATTTCTACAATATAATCGTTTTTCTATATCACGGAGAGGACTATATTTAGCAGCCACTCTTATCATCAAATCTTGTTATATTATTTGATATAGCCTCTTACCTTAGAATTACAATTAGAAGCATCCAGTGTTACTGAGCTGTAGGCATCTGTTAAAAAGAAGATTACGGTTGAGCAAAAACGTTAAGAATCAATAAATATTAACAATAAAATGTTTCAAACAACAGAGATAAATTAAGTATGAGTATGGGACCACAAGTGTTGTGATCTGTACTCCCCTCGTAAGTATCCAATGGGACCACAAGTGTTGTAAGCTGTACTCCCCTCGTAAGTATCCAATATGACCACACGCGTTGTAATCTGTACTCCCCTCATAAGTATTCAATGGGACCAACAGTGTTGTAATCTGTACTCCCCTCGTAAGTATCCAATGGGAACACAAGTGTTGTAATCTGTACTCCCCTCGTTAGTATTCAATGGGAACACAAGTATTGTAATCTGTACTCCCCGCGTTAGTATTCGATGGGACCACAAGTATGTAATCTGTACTCCCCGCGTTAGTATCCAATGGGACCACAAGTATTGTAATCTGTACTCCCTGCGTTAGTATTCAATGGGACCACAAGTATTGTGATCTGTACTCCCCGCGTTAGTATTCAATGGGACCACAAGTATGTAATCTGTACTCCCCTCGTAAGTATTCAACTGTTGGGACCTCGAAATCAAGACATGACTTGTTGTTATCTTAACACACAGAACAACAAATTTATTCAAACTTGAATTGATTATAGACAGTAAATGTTAAATAAACAATTGACGAAGTATTTGGTTAAGAAAGGCAAAAATAAAATTAAGGTTGACGGTTTTGTTTGACCATTTTGGCCAATAAGCAATGGTAAATAAATAACAATGGTAAATAAGTAACATTGGTAAATAAGTAACAAGGGTAAATAAGTTACAATAGTAAATAAGCAATAATTGTAAATAAGTAACAATGGTTAATAAAGTAACTTTGGTAAATGAGAAACAATGCTAAATAAGTTACATTGGTAAATGAGTAACAATGTTGAATATGTAACATTGGTAAATCGTCTCAATTCCTATTCCAAAGACCTCATTTTTGTTGTTCCCTTTCATATACAGGACAAGGTTTTGATGTGAACTAAGAAAATATGATGAGAGGCTTCATTACACCATTATGGTAAACTGAGCACTCTGCTACACCCTAAATTTCTCTGCCCAGACATATTTGCTGCTTTTTTAACACACTGTACAACGATTTGGTGTAAGAATTGGGTTAAAAAAGTCAAATAGAAAGGATTTGGTGAATGGCTTCATTTCACCATTATGGTTAACTGTAAAGGGTTGTAATTGGCCAAAAGCGCACGTGGATCAATAAAAAAGAATGTGATATTGTACAAATATGAAAAACTATTTTCTGTACTACTTTGTGCTATCACATTTGAAGTAAAAAAAATAGTTTAAAAATTAAGAAAATAGTAAAAGTAAAATTACTAGAAGGGCAGCCATCGTTCCCCGGATGTGTTATATTTAACTCATTCATATAAAACCGGCTGTCATTCCAGATCTACGCAGTAGGAATTCGTACTTTGATGACATATAAAATTGTAACAATACACATTCTTTGCCAAAACTGAAATTATACATAAACAGTGTGCCAATTGTCATGCGCATGACAAAAAATAATAATATTTAGACTGTCCGAAAGGACGTACAATTTTAGACATTTCTTGTTGTATTTAACTCGTATTTCAAGAACATAGATTTGATTAAAATTAAGACAAAGAGAGGTCCACATACCTGTACGATAAACCATCAGTGCTATAAATAGTGCAGGGATGCAAGTATTTTCTATCCATTGAGACATCTCCGTCATAAGTCGGATATTCCCGGATGAATTCGGGAAAGTCCTGTGATGATGCAGCAAAAAGCTATATCATGGTGCTCATGCCTGGAAGGAAATCACAATTTTAAAGTCTTTCGAAATTTTACTCTGTGACAAATTACCAAATGCACAACACACCGGTGGAGGGAGCTATGATGGAAACAATTAAATCTGGTATCTTGTTGATGTTTCTTATAAAAGATATTGTTACAAATGTACCTAGGTTTCATTTCCTTCACTTTATTTCTTGTCTTTTCTCCTATTTTTTATATTTCCATTCATCTAAAGAAAGAAATCGTCTATGGTTGTCTCGAGGATGGCATTATACAAAATAAAGCCATAAATGAAAATGAATTCCTTTACCTACTGGTCAACTTTGTGTCTATTTCCTGATTGGGGCGATCTTATGTGTGGTCCCCTGCAGAAACCATCCTTGGAACTCCAGGGTTTACACTCACTTATATTGTAGCAGAGGACGTAAGAGAGTGTAATCTCTGGAATTTCTAGGAAGCAGAATCGGGGGCTATCGTGTGTAGAACAAAGACAATCTCTTGTTTTATAACAATAGTTGGACCTTAACCGTTTCCATCACTTAAGTGTTTTACCATCAGTGAATCTGTGTCTCGCTTGACACATCTAGTCCTAATGTCTAACGCGTGGCCTTTTATGACCTTTACTTAGATGTCAGAAGGATGCAATTTGTCGGATTGAATTTGTGAACAGACAAATAGTTAGGTTTTATTTGTGTGTTGTGTATGCGAGCATGCGTGTGTGTGTGCTGGATACGGTGTGTGGGTGTATCTGCCTCCCTCGATAGCGCGGCTATGATGCCATTGCCGATTTTTTTAGTGCTATCACACTGAAATACCATGCCGAAGGCACCAAACGCAGTATTAGTCTGGATCACATCATACTGTCAACAGGCTAACCAGTTGTTGTCGTTTGCTGAAATGCTGAAATAAGAACTAACATTTATAAGGAGTTCTGAATGCCTCGGTCTGATCAGAGAAACCACTGTCTTTCCCACTCGGGCGAATGTAAAACACCTTAGTGTATTGTAAATAAAAACTGGATATTCAATATATCTTCCGGTTATGGAAAATTTGGATCAAGTAGAACCTCAATGGATGAAACTTCCTGTCTGATATTTTTAGTATTGGTACAGTATTACAGGAAAAAACTCGTTGAAGCGTTTATAACAATTGCAGAACGTTATCAAGCTTTTGATTTTTTGTTTGTTAAGGAAACAATCACGACTCTCTTCGTATTAAATCAGACACAAATTCAAATAAATGATTTCTTTTTTGAATTATTGATGAATACCATTGAGTCCCTTGGTAACTGGATAAGTGGATACCTATAGGGTGACAGAATATTTCTGATGAGTGTGCAATACCGGGTCAGTGATCATTGTATCACATCAGTACATCACTGACCCGGTACTGCACAATCATCAGAAATCTTTTGTCACCCTACAGTAACAACAACTTTGTTGAAAAAAATGAAGTTGATGAAATAGTTTCAAAATTTTGTAATGTTATGCTAAACACGGCTCGGAAAACTATGGGGGTTAAAACGTATGTAAGCGCTGGTAATAGGCCAAAACCAAAAGTAACATCTAAAAATAAACCATGGTTTGACAAGAAATGTAAAGCTACTAGATCTGCATTTAACAAGAGTCGATCAAGGCACAGCTTAAGCAAATGTAATGAAAGTAAGAATGAAATGAACAGATGTGCTGAATCATACCGGAAACAATTAAACAAAAGTTTTAAAGAATATATATCGAAATGTGCGCACAACCTACGCGCGTCGGCCAAACACAATCCAGGGGAATTTTGGAATATTCTTAAAAAAACGATCTATTACGAATAACAAAGATAATGCAATTTCATTAGATGTCCTATGTAACTTTTTCAAAGAGTTAAATGACAATGATGATGAGGATGACGATGATGAAGATGATGATGATGATGATGATGATGATGATCTAAATAGGGAAATAGACTTGATGAAGTAAATAAAAGTATCAAGGAGCTCAAAAGTGGTAAGTCACCGGGTATGGATCAGGTTTTAAACAAAAATATCAAATATCTTCCTAATAAAGCACGTCTAGTAATATGTAAACTGTTTAACCTTATTTTCAACTCTGGAGTGACCCCTGAATCCTGGACATTTTGGATAATAAAACAATTTATAAGGAAAAGGGTGACCCTAAAGACCCAGATATTTACCGGGGTATCACTCTGATAAGTTGTCTCGGGAAACTGTTTACACATATTTTGAACAACAGGCTTAATGAATACTCAGATAAACATAATAAAATCTAACCTAATCAAGCAGGTTTCCGTAAAGGTAACTCCACTGTTGACAATATTTTTGTATTGCACACGCTGTTATCTTTATGTTTTGCCAGTAACAAAAAACTGTATACGACTTTTATCGTTTTTAGAAAAGCGTTTGATACGGTTTGGATAGTAGGACTATTCAGAAAACTGTATAAAAGCAAAATTAGAGGCAAATGCTTTTCTACTATCAAAAACATGTATGAAAATATAAAATCATGTGTAGAATAAAAAAACACAAAGTCTGAGTTATTTCCTTGTCTAGTTGCTGTAAGGCAGGGCGAAAATCTTTCCCCTTTTTATTTTCTATCCACCTTAATGACATGGAATACTTTTTTAGAGCCAATAGTTCACTTCCCTTAGAACAATTGAAAGATAAATTTCAGACTGAGCTGAATATGTTTGTGGATCTTTTCGTCCTGTTATATGCTGACGATACAATTCTTCTTTCTGATTCTGCTAAAGGTTTGCAAAATGCTCTGAACGTTTTTCAGAAATAATGTGATATATAGAAATTAGAAGTTAATGCGAATTAAAACAAAGATACTTGTATTCTGTAAACGCAAATCTAATAATAACCATGTGTTTAGAATTAACGGTAAAGTTATAAAAGAAGTGGACAATTTGAGCTATCTGGGTGTGACATTTAATTACAATTGTAGATTTATGAAATGTAAACGGAAGCTTTGTGAGCAAGCCCAAAAATCCATTTTTTCTGTGTATCGTAATATAAAAAATCAACATCTTTCAATAGACTTGCAACTTAAATTATTTCATACCCTAGTTATTCCTATATGGATCTGAAATATGGGGTTACGAAAATATCAAAATAGTAGAACAATCTCATTTAAAATTTTGCAGACGAATTTTGGGCCTGCGAACTTCGACTCCAAACTTTATGATTTATGGTGAATTAGGTCAATATCCTCTTGAGATAGCTGTTAAGTTGATAATGATCACTTTTTATAACTCACTCTTAACGAATACCTCTAAACTTAGTTGCCATATGTTTAGATTAATGTTCAAAGTTTAAATGGTTAGAATATATAAAAAATGTGTTTTGATGAAGTCGGACAAAGTTCTATTTTTATAAAATAGGAACCTATTCTTTAATATTATATTAAAAACACTGTCAAACTAATTTTTATTGATCAATTTTTACAAAGATGGCATGTAAACATTCAAAATTCATCTCGAGGTGAACTATATGGTATCTTTAAGAAGAAACATGAAATTGAGCCTTATTCGACTCGCCTTTCTGAAAAAAAACAGGTCAATATTATACAAATTTAGATGTTCTAATATGAAATGTCCCAATGAAACGGGTAAGTGGCATAATTTTCAAAAACAAGACCGAAAATGCACTCCATGTAAAAGGAGCTAGGCGACGAATTTCAGTATTTATTCAAATGTACAAATTTTATAATTGTAGAGCTTAGAGAAAATATCTTCCTCTGTATTTTAGAAAAAATCCGTCTCAAATTAAAATGAGTGGTCTGTTGTCATTTTGTAACACGACAGTATTAAATGGAATTTGTCTTTTGTTGGAAAAAATAACAAACTGTTGTAATATGTATCATGATTACTGTTTTGTGAAATTGCCATCCATTTTGTCATCACATGTGTATTATTATACTCTGATACCTCATGTTGTACATTTTAATGTATCTGAGGAAAACAATAAACTTGTAAACTAAGAGCTATCCACTTATCCAGTTACCGAGGGAACCAATGGTATTCATCAATAATTTAAAAAGAGATTAGTATTTTTGTAACTTATATAAAAATATCAAAAGATTATCTTCTTTTAAGTTTTTTCAAGCAAGCAAACATTTTGTGTGTCGCTATGTGTAGGCCTATATTGTGAAATATTTCAAAAGGCGCCCATTTATTTCGAAATACATTCATTTATCCGCGAGATAGAAGAACGACACGAATCGATCTGAGTTGTTTGAATTCCTTTATTGTAAACAGAGATTGTTTAAAGGACAGCATTCCACCCGTCAATGTATATACATGTAACCTAATCTACTGCCACAACACGCGTTACACACTCAAAATGTACTCGCATACTGGCCAACAAGTCGTCACTTCACTCAAACGTTAGCCTAGAAGACGTGAATAACGCTGACCAGTGGTCGATCATTTTATATGCCGACAGAGTGAGAAATCATGAGTGACCAATATAAGTATGACGATTTGACCGACAGCACGGAGGGTTGGTCGGTTTTATACTGTGTAATACGGTACAATTTAGCACATTTGACATTATAATTGATATACCCTACCTGTGTTGGGGTCAGCAAGTCGTAAGACTACTTCCGGTAGTATAAGAGCCTGGTTTCCTTGGTATTTATGTACACTGCCTGCTAATCGATTTCTGACTGCGAAACCTTCCACTACGCCAGCCAACTTTATGAACGTATGTGTTATAAGCAGTATACTATACACATACCTGAGTGTATTTTTAGAACCGTGTCGTCAAACCGGTGCTAAAGTAGGCCATGCGTGGTAACACTTAGCTTAAGTTACACATGAGTTCGGGTACAATGATTCTACATACTTGTACACACGTGTATGGCATAGAAACTTCCGCCAACAGGTATTGATTACATGTTGTGTCAAATGTTTGGTTTATTTCTCAATGAATAAGCATGAATTAACATAAGGGGTCTATATATCCAGTGGGAAATGCGCCATCGCTACCCCACACTCCACAGTGCAGGCTATGGTCAAGGGACCAGTACTCATTACATCCAGAAAAGGTAATACTTAAAACAGATCTAGACTAGCTAGATCATTCAGCGAATATGAGGCAGATGTGCTTGGAGATTGTTCATTTCGATTTAATAAAATATCGACCCTTTCCGTAATGTTTTTAAAACCTACAGGGCACATGTAGTATCAAATTTTTACGCACAAAATAAGTAATCAATTAAATTGCATTACATTTGAACATTTCGACGCATTTTTACTAGGGGGACGGAGTTAGCAACCTTGATTATATTATAGATGTATTGACAGACGGGGCTAGTACGTGTGCTCTATCGGCAAGGCCCAAAATAAGAAAAACTGATAATCAGTTCAATTCAGTTCAATTTATTTATTTAATTTTTTCATTTTTTTTGTAATTATTTATTTTTCCAACTTTTTTTAACATACATAAAATCCTACAATCAAAAGCTCATTATCAGCATCATCATAAAAATGCCTTTCATCATAATTGACAATTATATAATCTTCATCATCATCATCAGCATCATCATCATCATCGACATTCCTTTTATAAATTATCATCATCATTTATAATTATATGCACACTTATCATTATTCATCAAATGCCACTCATCATCACATCATTATAATCATCATCTTCGTGTCATTATTCGCATCATTATTATCAACATCTACACATCATCTCCATCATCAAATGACAACTTAATCTAAAGACATTCATCATCATAGTTTGTCATTTAGCGGTGGCATTACATCATTCTCACAAAGATTTGTTAAAACATCTAGTTTTAAATATATAATGCTTTAGGAGAATGATAATTTCGTTATCTACTGTGCTGGTCTGTGGTGATGTGATTCCAAATAGGAAAGATTCATTATTTCTTGAAAAGGCAATAAGTTCCTGTAGTAGTCCCTGAACTTCTCTGCATTCCCATAAACAATGAATTATTGTTTCTGGTTCACTATTACAAAAGGTACACAATGGATTTGAAGTAATATTTATTTTGAACAGAAAATTGTTTGTAACTAGTATATGGTGTATAATTCCCACTTGAAACCATTGTAACTTCGAACTCTTCGAGACTGTAAAGGGAATTATATAAATGTTCTTCCATTTATCTTTATCAAAGAGAAAAGTTTTTCCCCATTTCTTTACCCAAGTGGGTACATGAGATGGTGTAATGAGACAGTTATAAAAATCTTTTGAACCTTCATGATTTCTGAAAAATATTTCACAAAACAGAGGAATAAAGGTTGGGCTGGTTTTTCAAACTGTAACTCTAACTCAGATTTATCTAAAAAATATTTTACTGCTGATACCAACCCATGGTATACCGATCCAGAAACTCATGTAGTGAGAAAAAAGTTAGATTTCTAGGATCTTTAATCAAGTCATTTAATGAAAATATACCAGCATTAAACCAATTTTGATAGAATATGAAATTATTTCCAATTTGTATATCTCTATTATACCAAAGTGGAGTTTTCAAAATAGAGTCATGATCAAGTAAACTCTTCTTAAATAAACTTGAATTATTCATTTTTGCCCACCCTCTAGAAACGTCTTTCCAGAATTTATTTATACAGTTAGATCCACACGAAAGAATAAAAGCATTCCCACAGTTCTGCAACTTTTTCAAATCTATCACTGAGTTAAGGAGCAGGGTCCATTTTCCTGATGACTTAAATATCCTGCGCACCCAACCTAGTTTAAGAGATTCCATAAAAGCTTGGATATCAATCATTTTCAGACCTCCATCTAAATGATTTTGAATAACAACATCTTTCTTTATTTTATGAGGCCTATCATTCCAAAGAAAGTCGAACGGTATAGAACTCAATTGAACAATACCTCATCGGGGGGTTTGGTAAAGTAATAAAAGGCAATTTAGCTGAGAGAGTAGCAAGGACTTTATTACATTAATTTTTCCTATTGGGGTCAGATTCCGCTTAATTAAAGCTTTGAGTTTCACTATTTTCTTATCAAAATTCAATCAGGGTATTTCCGTTAAGTCAACAGAAAAGTCAATTCCTAAAAAGGTAAACTTATTCTCCCCCCATTTTAAATTCAAATCTGGAAAAAAGTTTCCTCACTAAATCTTTTACTGCCAATCCATATAACATGTGTTTTATCAGTGTTGATGTTAAGCCCCGATATCTTAGAGAAATTATTTAATTCATTGATAGTTTCCCTTAATGACATTGCTGATCCATCCAGCACCAACCCAGTATCATCAGCATACTGCAAATTTAGAATAAATGCATTTTCTACCTGGATACCCCTAATATATTTCATTTCATTTCAACAAATTTTATTCATGATGTTGCATGAATTGGATCGAACAACAGGCTATGCCTATATCAGTTCTCTCCTACATGCATTTGTATAAATCAGCATATAAATATATTATAATTTATCAGTGAAATGAAAAATTGAAAAGAAATACAACTTATATACATAACAGATATCAATGTGCAAGTCATATGGTATAGGGGAGATAACTCTAACTGCTTATGAAAGGTCACAAGACAAGCTGTGCTACTTCTTGACCTCACCAGAGTATTGAGTGGGTTTTTGACATATTCCTTGACTAGATTCTCCCTCGGAGTTCAAAATCCACACAGAGTGACTCATAGATACATGTAGTTGAATATTAGGCTTATATAATTAAAAATAGGGAATAATCTATGTCAATATTGTATGGTATATTAATACTCACATTATAATACGTATACATTGAGAATATAATTATACAACTACTTGTTATTGATTACAAAATACAGGTCCATGTTGATTTAAGGGGAGAGTATATCATATTCACACTGTGTTTATAGAAAGCGATTAATGATATTTATAACCATATGCATGTTTGCTGTTCATGTTTACAATATTAGATTATTTACAGTTCATTATAATATAAGTTGATATAGATAATTCTAGTTATATAAATCTTTTTGAGTTCAAGATAAAGGTTGAGACACTCTCTAGGATATTTTTATTGGTTTCATTGTCACAATGGTAACAACCATTTAGTAAAATATGTAAAGGATAGTGCGAATGATTATCATTGAGTAGAGTAGCAGAGAGTACTTGTCTGTGATTGTTGTATCTGGCACAGTGAAAGAAGTAATGATAACTTGTTTCCTGTATATAACCACACACACATGAAGCAGATTCTAATAGATGGTCATTAAAGAGATCAAGGTTTAAGTTGCTAGTATTATTTCTAATTTGACATAGTATAATATTGATTTTTCTATCACCAGAAATTTTTACCACTGTCTGAGTATCATTATTAGGTATTCTATTAGTTATGTTAATTAGTTTCTTAAAGTGGGGAAGAGATTGAGCATTCAAAATATCTGGGTCTAACTAATTGTAAAGTCGAAAGGTTGAGGGAAAAAAACTATTAAAGTAGCTATCAGTTCTGCATACAGGGGGGTTAAAAACTCTATTTAGTCTAAGCTGGTATCTCACATTTGTTAAATCATTTAAAAAGGATCAACTATATCATTAAGGTACTTTGGTGATATATTGTGCAATATTTTATACATTACAATTAATTTATTTTTTCCCCTTCTATCTGCTAAGGTTTCCCGTCCCAATTCTTTGTACAATTTATGATGGGATGTACCTCTACGAAGCACTGTCACTACTCTAGCAGCATCTAGTTGGACTGATTCTAAAAATAATTTTGATTGTTCAGTGCAATTTTCCCAAACTACATTAGCATATTCTAAAATTTGTCTAATATAAGATATATACGTAGTGTTAAGTGTACTTCTATCAAGTGAGGTTTTAAGACTTCTTAATATATTAATTCTTTTATATGCTGTATCATAAATATTTTGGATATGTTGACCCCATTTACCATCTTCATTAAAAGTAAGACCTAAATGTTTATGGTTAGTACTGTCGGTTAGTGGTTGATTAGAGAAGAAGATTGGAGGGTGATTAGTTTCTTTTTTCCGTGTGAAGATCATAGTTTTAGTTTTGGATGCATTAAATTTTATATCCCAAGATTTAGCCCAAGAACATATATTCTGCAAGTCATTAGTGAGATTTTGTGCTGCTTGAATGGGATTATCATCAACAATAATATAGAGGGAGGTATCATCTGCAAAAAGTTTAATGTTACTAGTAACTATATTAGTGATGTCATTTATATAGAGAAAGAAGAGAAATGGACCAAGGACAGATCCCTGAGGCACTCCTGCACTGACACATTTAAAAGTTGACTGATGTCCTTCTGTAATAGCCCTTTGTTTTCTCTCGGACAAGTAGTTCTTAAACCATGCCAGTAATTTTCCTTTAATTCCATAAGTTTCTAATTTATTTATTTAACTGTCATGCCAAACCCTATCAAAAGCTTTATTTACATCACAGAAGACAAATCTAGACTCTTTACCTTTATCTAAACTATTAATAATAGTGTGATATATAGATAATAATTGATTCACAGTTGAGTCACCAGGCAGGAAGCCTTTTTTCAATAATTTTACTAAAGCAAGATGTAATTGAGATTGGCCTATAATTACTGACATCATTTTGGGACCCCTTACCCTTATATATAGCATTAACATTAGCAAGTTTCCATGATGCAGGGATATGTCCAAGTTCCATCGTTTTGTTAAATAGTAATGCTAGTGGATATGATATTGAAGGTGTTAGTTTTTTAATTAGTTTGGGTATAATTCAA